TGTAGGGGGAAAAACCCGAGATCAAAAGGTTGGCTTAAATGAAACAAAGAATAATACATTGAGCACATCACAGCCATCCATCCTATCCTCCTTTATGAGACACAGTACAACTATGGTAAACCTTGACATGTGCCTGCCTCTCCCACTTTGTCATAGATTACGGTACTTCCATGGGTTGGACATACAATAGTAGCTGCTGGAATAACGCTGTGAGCAGTACAACAAGGCACACAAGGACCCTACTCACAGGACTATGGCTGAATTTCCATCAATGAAGCCTGTGCGCACACAACATTTGGTACCCAAAGCAGAGCCACTCTGCTAGGATCACTGCCATGACAGGGGCATTTTCTTCTATTACAGGTCCTAACCACTTTTAGAATATTATGGCAACGTGTAAATAAGCTTATAGGAGAGGACTCCTAGGAGGGGAGAGTATGCCAACAAATACACCACAAATGACCGATATCTGTCTCTGCCACTTACCGCCACAGATCCTGTGCAGAACTCAGAGCAACCCATTAGAAACTAGCTTATACCGTTTTACTTCAAACAGTCATCTGATTGGCCACTGTGTGCTGATTTTTATGATTTATATTTTATTTTGTGCTCTCAAAATTAAACTCTTATTGTAATTTTTTTAACTTCCAATAATATACTTTTGCAGAGATAGATCATCTATAGAACAATGGACAACACTTTGTGATTCTGCCATGAAGGTCATAGTTTAGGTACTTTCTATTAATGGGCAGGGGCGTCCCGAGGCTGGGTGACACCCGGAGCGCTAACTTTAAAATGGGTGACAACGTTCTGTACCCATAAAAGTCGATAACTGCCCACTCCTTAACGAATACTACCCCTTGTGCTGAAAGGTGGATGCTGAAGCGACTGCGGATGGCGCTACGCATCACAATGTACATCAGAAATGTCACCAACACACCAATGGATAATGTCCAAAATAAAGCGTTGTTTATTCACGCATATTGACACATCAAAAATGCAATGTTTCAGGGCCTCGCAGAGTTCCCTTCATCAGGCTTAACATGACCCAGCCTGATGAAGGGGACCCTGCGTGGCCCCAAAACGTTGCATGTTTGATGTGACAATATGCGTTAATAAACAACGCTTTATTTTGGACATTATCCATTGGTGTGCTGGTGACATTTCTGATGTACAACGTTCTGTACCCATCTACCAAAAGCTCTCATGTGTTGTCACTCTATCACATGTGTGGGCTCAAAGAGGCTGCAGGAGATCAGCAGCAATGAGATGCAAAAGATCATTAAGAAAGAAAAAATAACTACAGATTTCCATGTTTCTTACAAGTAAATTTCAGGATCATGGACCTGTCCATACTCACGGTTATAAAATAACAGCGCAGGATAGTTTTGTTACACATTAACTTTTTGCCACATATAAAGAAAGTTCTAATCAAATAAGAATAGGAGATGTGCAGAAACAGTAAATATTACACAGCCACAAGTGTTATTATTGTTCTACATGGATTGAAAAGCCTTTACACTCTAACCCAGGGGTTGGCACCCTTGGCACTCCAGCTGTTGTGGAACTACAAATCCCATGAGGCATTGCAAGACTGACAGCCCCAGGCAGGACTTCCAGTGGATTTGTAATTTCAGCAGGGCTCTAATCAGCACTGTAGGACCGCACTACCAAGCACCTGCAGGAAGGACTTGCTTCCTCTAGCGTCCAATCAGAGTCTCTCTTTTGCGGCCCTGTGCAGCAGCTGATTCAGAAAAGTAGGGAGCTAACTGGTTACTAGGAGCAACACATCTTTTTTTCTTAATGAGCCCTATAGGGTTGTGTTGCCCATAGAAACCAAATTATTCCTTTCCATATCCCATATTGCAATGGAAGGCTAAAGTAATCTGGCTGCTTCTGACAAATAAAGAAGAGAGGCCTTGAAAGAGCTCCTAAGGATGGAAATGAGGGGGGCATATGGTGTGTATATGAAAAGCCCCCATTGCTTCTCCAGCGTCCAATCAGATTCTCTCTTTTGCTGTCCCATGCAGCAGTTGATTCATAAAACTAAGAAGCTAACAGGTTACTATGGGCAACACATCTTTTTTTAGATCCTTTTAATTGCAACAAGGTTCCATATCCCATAAAGTAATCAGGTTGCTGCTTGCGAACAAATAAAAGAGGCCTTGAAAGAGCTCCTA